CGAATGGGCGAAGTGAAGTACGAGAGCAGCAAAAGGAAAAGCGGAGAGCGGACTGAACCTGGACGGAACTCTACGTCGGGTGCATGCGCAGTTGGGAAGAACGCAGCGACGAGGGAGTGGTTATGGCGGAAAGGGTGAAATCCGAAATCCGAACTTATTCATCTCTTATTGGAATCGGGCAGAGGAAAAAGTGTTAAGTCGGGGTTTTAGGCCAAGGCGACTCCCGATTGGAAGTCGGGTGGATAAAGAGTTAGTAGAAGGGGAGGTTAGTAGAAAAAGTCGTGCGCGGGAGATGGCGGGTAGAATATATGGCGGGGGCTAGAGTCGATAATCTCGTCCAGTTCCTAGTGGAATCGAGGGAGGCAGGGTATGAAGTGGAGGTGTAGAGGATAGGCGAGTACGATGGTGAAGGCAGATTTGGAGTTGGTGCAGTGCATTTAGTGGCGCAAAGTGTAAAGGTTGCGCGTGGAAGGACAGGGTTCGACGCAGGCGATGTATATTTCCACGTTTCAGATGTAGATTCATTTCAATTTTTTTTTTGCACCTCCTAGTGATTGAAGCAGTCTCACCCTATATTCCTGCATGCATGGCTGATTAGCGACGCATCTTTCCATGTTCCGACGGAACGTTTATTTGATTTTGCTCCTCCCGTCGGTGTAAGTAGCCCTCTCGATCTCTCTGCCCGAGTGGCTTGAACGCCGTGTATATTTTCGAAATCCGACGGAAGATTCATACGGATCTCGTGTAGGTTGTCAAGACCGCCTTTGTCCTGCCATCAGCAGTCCTCTTCTAACAGTCGCTATCGTCGTGCTCTCCCTGATTGAGTAGTGATAGCGATCGCCCTCGCGCTCGCTGGCTGAATCCGCATGTGCCCGGATGAGAGTCATGACTAAGTGCATTAAGGTATTCAAAGGAAGTAATCCCCCCCCTCCCTCCCCTATCTCTCTGCGGGGACGGCTGAAGAACGAGAAGCATCTTGTGCTCCTACGAAAGACTCCAGCGGGCTGAATAGTTGTCGGGAGAGGTGTGTCGCACTTGCTGAATTTCGAAGCAACCATTGGCATCCAGGTTTGGTTGCAGCTAAGTTGAGCTAACCACTGCGTAGTTTGTGCACTGTTGCAGCTGCTAGTGGTTCTGTAGGGTTTGAAGTTGTGACCTGGGTTGTCTCTTTCGTCAGCTCGGGAGTACACCTTGTTGCAGCAACGGGTCACTGTGGGAAAGCGGATGTCTCACCTAATCCTTGAGAGAGCCGAGCGGCGAGGCAAAGTTGGTCTAGCAAAGCCAGAACAATGGATAGTCAAAATGGATTAACAGCAACGTGACATTGCATGACCTCAACTTTGTCATAACACAACCATTGACGACAGAACACACGACACAGGTCGACGACAGGAAAATGACGACAATACCAACAGACAGGTGTCCCCGAACGCGACTGAAAAATTAAGATAATAGTGAAGTACACAGTGCGGAATAACCGCAGGCGTATGACCCGACCGGTTTCGCCTAGCCGCCGAACTAGACTCATCAGGGGTCTGATGTCGGTTTGACGGACACAAGTACTGCTGAGACTATATACTAAAGAAAAGAACTATACTACTCCGTAGTCCGTCACATACGTCACACATGCAGTCAGGCTACTCCGCGGTTTGAACCTAACCTGTAACAAGGTCGCGCTCCAACCACCCCGAGAAAAACTAAAAAGAAAGGTCTACCGCCAGATTAAGAAAAAATCCACAATCCACCAGTTGTCAAACCCATACCCCCAACCGACCCGAGAAAACTAGAAAAAGGGCCTACTGCTGTTTAAGAAAAAAAACCACAATCCCCCAGTTGCCAAACACCATATCCCCAACTACTCAAATTCTAATGGTCCTAAACACCATCACCCCCTACCCCTGGGGGTCAAAAAAAGCATCTTATCCTACAAGCCAATACCCCCTACCTCGGAGGTACCCATTTCCAAAAAACCTGCTCAACTTTTCAGGAATTCCCCCCAATTCGTTAACACCGGAATCCATTATCTCAATACGCTTGCATACTTGTTCGAAAAATTCATCAATCCCTCATCGAAAAACTCGTCCGGATACCCTCTCTGCCATAACTCACATTTCAGAGAAAAAAGATACGGAACCACTAGCATTTCGACAGAGGAAAAAAACTTCGCTCTGTGTAATAACGACGAAATCACCGCCATCTTTTGTTGCTTACTGGTAAAGGAAACATAATCCTGAATACACTGAAACTTAGGATCTCTGTTGACATCTCCCTTCTGATTCTTTGTTATAGGGAAACATAAGACACCGGTTGCTCCATCGAATACCTTCAGTACGCAACCAAGATAATCCCAAGCATTACCAAAGCTTGTTCGTTCCAGAGTCAAATTCGCATCGTAACACTGACTAAATGATTCAATCAGGTCGATCCCCTTTCGCAAAGAACTTCTGTCATTCTTCCTGCAAATCGTGAGAACCGACACATCATCAACCAACCTACAACGCCGAAACAACTTCCTGTCCCTACCCAAGCTTGAAATAAAACTAAATTCGTTCAATGCACATAAGAGACATGCCAGCGCTGGACTTGACGGCTTTCCCATTGGGATGCCCATGTCCTGCTTTAGAAGCCTCCCTGCTGCGCATACATACGTATTATCCAACTCAAACAAGACGAACGAAAAAATCATTTCAAATGTCACCTTCTTCCATCCCATCTCACACTTCCCCCTCAAAACCTTAGCATCTTTCCCTCTTTGACGAACTACTACCCCACTGGCCCCCTTATCCATCCAAAAATCGGTAACCCATCTTACCGCATTCAAAATAGACTGGTGCAGTAGATTCGAAAACATATCTTTTACATCGAATAAGGCTCCTAAAAGAAAAAACTGCTCTGACAATCCCTGGTTGACCTCTTTTAGTTTGCGAAGCAGCATATCTGCACTTCGAAGATTAAGATTGTTGTGCGCCGGTAAACTCCATAACATTGCATTAACAGCCTTCGAGATCAACCGTCCATCCCTCACTGCACAATCTGAATGAGATGGACAGATTAGTCTCCATCTCGTAACGTCTTTATGCTTAGGTAAGCCATAAGCATAGCCAAACTCACCACTTTTATCCCATCGACTTACCTTGTTCAAACCCTTATCTACATATTCTCTGGCCAACCTCTCAACCACTTTCTCACTACTATCCGCACAATCTTCAAAGGCAGGGTTCTCCAAGAATAACTTACGCATTCCCTCCTGATAGACTTTCGGACAACAGACCATAGTGTTCCCCAAATTGTGGTCAATAGGACAACATACCAAGCCTTGCAACATTCTCTGACACAGACGGACCTCATCTTCACAAATACTTATCGATCTTACCGTTGTTCTCACAAAGCAACTTAAAACATCTCTAACTGAGAGAGCATTCTCCTGAACTGGAGGGAGGGAAGAATTAGAGGAGAACGACAACAAAATTTGAGATCGTAAGGTGTGCGATTTATGAACGCGACTCGGTCTGACCACATTCTTGGAATTCAGCCCTGCTCACTAATTCGAAAACACACATGCCCGTTGATTACCGGAAATGAAGAAAACAGCACGCTCCCACATACACACTGTACCTCTTCCTTTCGAGAAAACTTGCGAAAATTGTGTACCATATCTCCAATACTTTGATTCTTACACCAAACGATCCGCATCCGTCGGATCAACATGTCCTTCCAACCTGCCTGTATATCCATAGTACTTAGCATCCGTACGCACAACTGGCGTAGTTTAGCTTTGCTTATTGTATCGTCGTATTGCAGCCTTACTACCAGTCGTTGTCGTATTCGTATTCCGAAACACGTCGTAAAATGGTGAGTTAATATGCAACGCAGTCTAGACCTTGTTCTCTTCTCACCGAATGTCCTTACAACTGTATACGCAGCGATCAGTCTTTCGAACTCCCATTCCTTCAAGCCCACCCTACTACTCGGGTTACTCAACAACTCAGCCAAGGGAATCTTCAACGCCAACGACCGACTTAAAAACTGCTTGATTGTTTCAAAAAACAAGACAATCCCACCTCTTAACCATCCACGAGAGTGCCGAAGCTCCTTAATACCAAACTTACAACTTACATAACTCCCTCCAAACATTCTCTTCAGAACCTTCCATTTGTCCACCAACAAGCATCCACCCGTACAACGGATGGAAATAGAATCAACCCTTTGCTTCACACAATTCTTCAGAACGTCGATCAAGCTTACCGATGGTGAACCCCCCTCATGATGAAACACACATAATATTTCGGAACCCTGACACCAATTCCGACTGTTGACCAACAACCCGTCATATTGACTCCCAACCACTCGCGCCCTCTTCCTCCGCAATCGTTCCCTCAACCCAGGCCTCGTTTTCCTAGCCCGTCTCGGTTTATCCCTGGTATTGAGGGTCGGGCACAAATGTCGAATAAAAAACTTCTCTGTTGCCGCCAGATCTTTGGCTTCACACCGACATAATGGAACAATAACACGACGTAGCCACCGATAAAGCTTCTCGTTACGCTTCCCTCCATCAACAGCGTATTCACTACAACTTCTATACACGTGTTCCCTCCATCGGCTATGTAAATCCCAACCCGTGCTACCGACATAAATATGCCTATACCAAGGCAACACAAGAGCGTAAACTACTGGTCCCTCCCACGCATCACATCCATTCTGCCGACAGGAAGAGTGAACTTCTGCAACAAAGTCAAACAGCTTGCTCCCCCATGGAACTAGACCGAAAAATATCAGACAGCAAACCGCGAAACCCAACAAGCGATTCATCTCCTTGCATCGCAACCACGCACTATTCTCTCGTCGAACTCTAAGACCGCTAACAACCAACTTCCATAACCAAGCCGCGTCGGGGAGTGACCCTAAGAGTTAGCAGAGTCACCCCCCCCATCTTTTTCAGCTTCCTCGTTACCGTCTGTGACTTTAACCACAGTGTCCGGCTTACCCAAATCGATACTTACCTCATCATCTGCCACTGCCCTATCAGCTCGCGCCTGCGCCAACTCTTCCTTTGCTGCATCCAGAGTGGTGTACGTAACACCCTCTTGATCACATATCCGTGTGATAGCGTCCTTCTTGAGGTTTCGAAGCTCCCGTCTCGCCGCTCTTAACGTCGCTGCTCGCTGACTGACCAGGACTACTGGCGATGCATCTGCACGTGCCTTCATCTTCAGTGCCGATGTCCCCGCTGCCACATCCATTTTTTTCTGTAGGTTCGTTCCTCCCTTCTGACATGTTTGCAATCGCGCCATCTCCTCTTTCAAACGCTCTACCTCCTTCTCAGACTCTTTTCGTGCGTTAACTTTTCGTAGCCGCATCTCCTTTAGCAGCTCCATTTCCTGCTTGTTGTGATCCACCACCTCCTTTAATCTTTGATCTATCCTCCCAGCTCCTCTCGGTGACGTCAACGGAATAGTCTTCTGTCGGACCCGTGTCTCGGTACCCGGAGTTTCCACGACCGATACTGCTCCTCGCTTATTCCCTGGCCTTAACGCTTCATTCCGCCATACCTCCGCATTTGCTTCTGCCGCCTCACACTGCTTCTGGAGAGCCACAATCACTTCTTCAAGCGTGGCCAAACGTTTGTCCATTGCTGTTTTTACATCCTCCTGTTCCCGGCGCAGCCGAAGGATCTCCTCCGACTTCTTGCGTGGTTGAATAACCGTAGCAGACATGCCTACTCCATCCCTCTCCCTTTGCAGCTCCTCAACCCGAGCCTTCAACAAACGAACTTCTTCAGATTTTGCCTCTTTCTTTTTCTCGACCGCGGGTTCCTTCAACTTGCACAGCGTCTCGATCTGCACCCTGAGTTTCGCCATTTCTTCGCTTTCCGCAGTTTTTTTGCCATCGACAGCCTCTCTTACTACCTCCAATTTCGCAGCCAATTCCTGCCTTATAGACGACTGAAATTCTTCTTTGTTATTTTTCTCCATTTCTCTTCGTTGTTCCTCTTCCCTATCTCGCTTCTTTCTGTCTTCCTCTTCACGCATCGCCCGCTCCCGTGCCTCATTCGCCTGGTGCTTAGTGTTGATCCATGTAACGATCTCTTCTAATGTGCTGACACGTCTTCCTTGTCCTCCGCCATTACCACCATATTGACCTGGAAAGTACGGAGCAGACGTTCCGACCTGTGCCGTAGGACCGGGTGGATACGTCGCAATCGGATGGACTGGCACAACTGGTACAATAGCATTATTCGACTGTTGACTATTACCTACACGGGGATGAAGACAAAAACGTGAAATATGACCGAACTGACTGCAGTTATAACAATGAACTGGTGGTCGAGGACCATCCTTGTTCACATTACCAACACCATTAGACGCCATCTCGAAAGGCGAAGTCACTCAACTGTAGTGCAATCTCTACGTCGGTTCCTTCGTGTGATAAAGTTGGTCTAGCAAAGCCAGAACAATGGATAGTCAAAATGGATTAACAGCAACGTGACACTTCATGACCTCAACTTTGTCATAACACAGCCATTGACGACAGAACACACGACACAGGTAGACGACAGGAAAATGACGACCGACAGACACGACAGGAAAATGACGACAATACCAACAGACAGGTGTCCCAGAACGCGACTGAAAATTTAAGATAATCGTGAAGCACACAGTGCGAAATAACCGCAGGCGTATGACCCGACCGGTTTCGCCTAGCCGCCGAACTAGGCTCATCAGGGGTCTGATGTCAGTTTGACGGACACAAGTACTGCTGAGACTATATACTAAAGAAAAGAACTATACTACTCCGTAGTCCGTCACATACGTCACACATGCAGTCATGCTNGTTTGACGGACACAAGTACTGCTGAGACTATATACTAAAGAAAAGAACTATACTACTCCGTAGTCCGTCACATACGTCACACATGCAGTCATGCTACTCCGCGGTTTGAACCTAACCTGTAACAAGGTCACGCTCCAAACACCCCGAGAAAAACTGAAAAGAAAGGCCTACCGCCAGATTAAGAAAAAATCCACAATCCACAAAGGCCTGCCTGTTGGTTAGTAGGCTGCATATTCTACCAACTGAAGTGGAGTGAGGCAAGCTGCAGCAATTGGAAGATTGTCGGCTGACATGTGCGTTGCTCATTTTATTGGTCGAAGCGTCGTGAGTCCAGTCGCAGTTTGGGTAGTTACCAGCTATGAATCCCCGTCGGCGGTGGCCAAGCACGGCCGAATCTGCGGACGAGGCCAGGCCGCCGACCAAGCACGGCCGAATCCACGGACGAGGCCAGGCCGCCGACCCCGCGCAGCGGAATCCGCGGACGAGGCCAGGCTGCCGACCCCGAGGACGCATCCGCGTGGACACACGACTTTGAAGCCACATGGCAGCCAATGGGGAGGTGGGTTGGGGATTCGGGAAGCGCCATGGGGCGGCGCAACCCCAGCCCCAACCCCTCGAACAAAAAAAAAAAAAAAAAAAAAAAAA